TTAGAAATGTCACACAGTAAAACAGTATCATTTACTGGATATGGTTTCAGATTTATGATCGAATAGCAACTAACTGATCTTGGTAGTTGAAACTATCAACAAGAATGTCCTGAATCATTTGGTTCTTATTTTGACCTCATGAAACTGCACTCATGATAAAGTTGATGTCATTTAAACGTTGCTTGCAGTAACTATAGTTTGATCTATACCAGCGTTTCAAATGAAATAAACTAGCATTTTCAAATGGTTAAAAAATATTTATTCTGCTGTGGAATAAATAAATCAGTTATTTCTACATATGTGGATACAGTCATTAGAATTTCCAACATTCAGTTTATAGTATAATTGCTTGTATTATCACTCATTAGGAGGTGGGTACATCCAGCTTAAGAGTCTCAAATAGAACGAAATGCACATCCCACTGCTGGCTACTATCTATCATTACTATTCAGTAAGTAGTTTATGGGGACTGATTGATTTCAAAGTAGTATTCATAACATAGTGAAATCAACTGGAGAATCATTCAAGAGCCATCAACTTCTTTGCAATGCAAGGGGTGAAGCCCAAGATCATGCTTTTTTGGGATAAACTTATTAAGATCCACCCTGAGGGTTGGAATCCAATGTTTAACACTCTCTTACTTCTGTCAGTATTCGATTTAGAGCAAACTTCATCTGATGCCATGGGCGAGTTCTTATCTTCACATCGAAGTTGTTTCACCCCATAGGTAATCATTAAAATTTTAGGCGATTCACACACCACTGAGCACTAGGCTGGTCATTCTATATCACAAGCTCACGGAGATAGAGATGTGTAGTATTTGATTCAACCCACTAACAGAATAGTAAGATACTTTCTTCAGGACCTGATGACATTGGGTTCAGTCCCTCCTGAAGCTGTGGGTGTGCGTCTCTGAGGAGTTGTTGACTAAGATGAAACAGCTTTTCAGTTATCCAACTTTTCCAGTGACTCTCCATCTGATGTCAGTCTGTGGTGGAAATTACCCTGAAATATACAACACATACATGCAAATTTTTATCTATGAAGCTTATAGAAGTGTAATTCCATTCACTCATACATCTCACTTATAGCTTCATAATGTAATTTTTCGGACCACTTAAAAGGAATATTTAGTGAATAATCAGGGTATATTCTTACTCGATCACTGAGTTCTCTGCTGTGTCTTATATTCAATGTGCTTAATTTTACTTAAGTTATTATTTCTGGTTTATAGTACATTTTTTTCTTATAGTAGCAAACGCTAGAGAGAAGTAGAATAACAAGGTTTTACACGCACAGAAATATTCTTACTCCTGATCGTATACCATATTCCCCATGGATTAATGGATTCTATGGGTTATCAATAGTGAAAATTGTTTTATATAAAGTACAAACACTATTTCTGAATTCACTTTTTTCTTAGCTTAGCCTTTTTATTACTCTGCTTGTTTTCAAAGCACTAAATAACCTTGAAGCATTTCAGATCATGTGATTAAGAAGGTTAATTATTACTACTGAAAAAAAGACAAAAAGGCGTGAATGTGAATACTTAAATAATATAATTTCAGTCCAAGCAAATATATATCTTGCTTTGTTTTTTGAAAATTTATTAATACTCCACCGTAAAAGAATCTGCTTTATTTGCTATTCTTTTAAAAGAAGTCCGAAAAACGAGCAGAAATCTTTTCATAGAGAAAAAAGAGATAATTCAGCGAAGAAAATTTTCTTCTAAAAGATATCATTTTCTAAAGCTGTACAATCGTATTTATATATCATAAACATATAACATTCTACTATTAAACCGTAGTGTATAACTGCATTATTAAGCTGGGACTAAAAAATCAGAAATCAAGAATAGAGAGTAGTTACATAATAATCTTTTAAGCAGTGGAAATAACGAGAAAGGGAGTTTGACAAGGTTGAAAATTGTTGGTAGATGAGAAATGCGAATGTTGAGTGTAAACTTGATACGTAGATATAAAGAAGGTGGTAGTAATTAACTAGCTGTAACAAAATCAAAAAATTGTGAAAGTGTTAAGACCATGGTAAGATAAGAGATTGTTCTGCAGGCAGAGATCAGGTATGAATTGACTAATTGCCAGTGCTTCTGTCCAAGGCGTACTCCTTACGAAGTATTCCCATAGACTTTACAAATGACATTGAAGAAGGACTGTAGTCATGTATCCACAGTTGACTAGATGTTGAAGAATTGAACTGTTAATTGATTTACATTCTCCTCTCAATAACCATGCAGGATGATGGCCAGAGATACGTTTTGAAAGTGCACGCTTTGTGTGGCCTATATAACTAGAAATCTCTTTCTCAATATTTTTACGAGGTTACAGGTCCAAACATGTCTTACCTACTTAGCCATCGAAGATCGAATAGTTTCATTAGAAGTGACCGATTACAATTCTTGCCTTAGTATATTAACCTATAATGGCTTACGAAACTACATTATGGGCTGTGAGAAAACACTATGCTGAATGTTTTTTTTCTCCATTCCTCTTTCATCATTTATGAGCTTAGAAACTGACGAAAGTAGACAACTTTATACCAGCTTCTCTAATGTTTAAAATTTAGTTTAAAACCTGGAGATTTCTCCGGATAACAAAAGGATGCATTTCATATCAACATAATGGTTAGAGTAGCAGTGCGAAAAACGAGTTTTATGTGAAGCAATGTACTAAATGCTACTCTAAATTTGTAGAAATCTGTATGAGAACATATGTGTATTACGTAGCCTATATTGGCTTTACTAGGCATAAACATATCATTTAATAAGTGTGACGGTCTACTTTAATGCATTTGAAATTGTGCACTATGAAAACTTTACCAAACTGCTTCCATAACTCAAGCTAGATTCTAGACGTAACATATTTGGATTCCGTTCTAAATGTGGTAACTAGACTTGGGTTTTGTAATGTCACTGTATTTTGTGGATACGTTATATGCTAACTGATATAACCTAAATTATGTACATGTAGACGCATGAAGAATAAAAGCTGCATATTCACTCAGTCTCTTGATAAACGGAAAAGACGACAAAATAACAGAAGGTGTGTGCACAAAATACAAGGCTTTGTATGCATTTACAATTACCTTGACTATTTCCAGGCCTTTCTAGATTTGAATGTCTTATTGATTTTCGTCCCTCTAACCCATCTGATACTTTTTATTAATAATAATCGTTTTATTTCAAACAATATGCATACTACAGTTTGAAATTCTCAGCATGCAATTTTTCAACAAAGTCAGTCCAGAACAATATTCTCAGACGGTAAGGTTATGGCATATGAATGGTGGTAATAATAACAGTATTCAAGGCAGTAAGGTGAAACATCCAGCTGGTTTTAAATTCACGTCCGATCCATAATGAAAAATCAACAGAAACACGAGCGTAATTTCGGTAGTGGCCGCTTCATTCAGCCAGTGCAAGAATCTGCAACTCAAGCTAAGAATCGGTGGGACAGAAATATGATGTACTTTTGCTCACTGAAAGGTCCATTTCGATATAATGTGGCATATCTTTCTCTGTTTTGTTACTAACTCTGGAAACGATGAGTTGAAAACATTTTAACAGCATGCAAGGGTACATAATACATTCGGTGAACATATTTAAATGATTAAAACAAACTGAAAGAAAAGAATCTTATATAAATATTCGTTGTAAAATTTTTTTGGTATTTACACTTTGGATTAAAGGTTTTTTTTGCTAAAGAAATATAGCAGTGTTATTCCACCATATAACATTAGCCGAATATTGTATAAACTGTTAATCATAGTTATTTGTTCACCTCACATTAGTGGATCAATTTGAAGAAAGATAAACAATAAGCCGAAAAATTCACTTAGTATCAGCTTCTGTAAACATTTTAAGATAGTCTTTATTTGTATCTTGAAGATGAAAACATGTTATCTTTTGATTTAGAGAGGAGGAAATTTTGTTTAATTTAAGGTAGCTTTTTATCCTAACCAAGTGTTAAATACCTAAAAATTGATAAAACCACTTGACGTAAAGGTGTATTTTTTTGGCAGAGTTGTAGGATCAGCTGGTACTGAAGTTTTAAACATCTATTCATCTAGTCGAATGATGTATTTCTTCACTGGTTTGTTTTCAGGTGACAGTATCTCTGGTATGGGCGGCAAATCTAACTACATATCAGAGATAAAGTAAACCGCTAAGCATTTCGTCTTGTTTTTCTGAACGCCTTTGACGTAACTAATGAGTAGCATATTTTTTCAGTCGAAATAGTAGCAATATTCGTTAGAATCAGAAGGCTAACATTAGTGAGGCCAAAGATAGGATGGTAGACCAGGCTGGTACATCAGCGTATAAAACCATAACGTTATGTGATTGAGTTGACCAATATAAATATCATCCAAGTCGAATAGCCATCAGTTTTCACTCGAACTGTCACCTGGAGTGATACTCAGTTACAAAAAGCAACTATAGTGGCCAAACCAAGAGAACACGGTCAAACTACTCACTGTTCATTTGCTTACTTCATAAGATTCTTCTGATGTTTTGAGTAAAACAACTGGGACAGCTGAAAATAGATTTCTTTCTTTATGTTATTTCATATCCTGTTATCTCTTTGATTCCTTTTAATATGTTTTAGTCTTTAAGAAATGAACTAATGTATTTTAGTACGAAGTTTCAAGTTGATTGACCTATTGACTGAAAACTTCTGGATTACACAGTTTTAGTAAAGAATGGCATACTTCCTCTTGGTCAGTAAACTACCGATTGTTGAATTTTTAAGAAGCTAGTTGTGTTTCGTAAAATGAAGACATATAAAATTTTTTTTTGAAAATGGTTAGTTTTATAAGGAACTAAGCCAAAAGAAAGATTGATAACACTTTTGTAAAAATCGATTCATAACTTACTTATCTGTTCTACTTTGATTGTAGTATAATCTTTTAAAAAAGTCATCCTATATGTATTATGTTCACATATATATTTTCACAAACAGTATTTGTCTTCTTCAATCTTCTAGAATGCGACGAATTATACGAAGATTCATATTTTGGATCAGATAAACAACAAAATGTTCAGAATTCACAAAACAAACGTTCCAAATTTGAAATATTTACGGTGAAACTTATTTACAATGTGATCAAAATACCAAAGTATGCAATTATGAAAATGCTAAAACATTTAAGCATCTATGCAGCCCAGACATTGAACCTCATTATACATGGAGTCTTACATTTACACAACCAGCATCACAATACTATGAATTTAGACAAAAACTTGAACAGAATTCTGTCTCACTAGAAAGTATCAGCATTGCACAATCGACTGATAAACCAAGACCAACCTACATTAAGCTTTCAGGTACTATAAAAGTGAAAAATATTTTCTTCGAAAAATCTGTACATTTACGTCTAACCAAAGATAATTGGAAAACATTTACTAATTATGAAGCAACTTACAGTGCTCAGTTATCATCTGGTACATGGTCAGGTCCAAGACGTTATGATACATTTATATTCAGTATTATGATTGAACCAGATAAGGAATATTTTGATTTAAAAGAGAAAATTGAATTTGCCATTTGCTTTTCTACTGTAAATAACGACCAGAGAATCGAATATTGGGATAATTATGATAACAAAAATTATATTATTGAACAGAGAAGATTTCATCCACTGTGGATTAATGCAACCTTGACAAATAATTCCATAGAGCTTTCATCTCCTTCTTCGGATGCATCTATTTCACCAGTCAGTGAAACGCCTTTAGACAATAACTTACTGAATATAACGGATAGTAGTTGTGCTACATGTTATAATACGTCTTCATACACATTGGATTGTCGACCTAATTTCGACAGTTTCACTTCATTCACTGACTATCGAGCATGGAGTCATTATTCTGGCGAAACAAATTACTATTAATTCTACTCAGTTTTCACAGATAAATTTTGTGTAAAAAGTAGTGTATGTTTATCTTAATGATAGTTTGTTTTTGAGCACTCAACACTTAGAAGGAAAATACCCTGAGATACGTAATTATAAAATGATAAATAATTCACATTCGTTTTGAATTCCATGTAAATTCTCTGTCATCTCACTGCAAATGGATAAGGTAACCCACTTGGGTGACATTCAAACAGGTAGCTTTTTGCACATTTTTGTACTTGTAGAAGACTCAAAATTTGTAATTGCAGGTGTATATTTGTAAGACTTTGTCCACTTCACACTTAGGATAATAGCAGTTTTTATCCATAAATTAACGAAGTCTAGCCTATTCCCGCTCAACTTCCGTTAATTTATGGATAAAAACTGCTATTATCCTAAGTGTGAAGTGGAAAAAGTCTTACAAATATACACCTGCAATTACAAATTTTGAGTCTTCTACAAGTACAAAAATGTGCAAAAAGCTACCTGTTTGAATGTCACCCAAGTGGGTTACCTTATCCATTTGCAGTGAGATGACAGAGAATTTACATGGAATTCAAAACGAATGTGAATTATTTATCATTTTATAATTACGTATCTCAGGGTATTTTCCTTCTAAGTGTTGAGTGCTCAAAAACAAACTATCATTAAGATAAGCATACACTATTTCTTTTTATAACAATCGGAATAAAAAATCAAGCACACAGTAATCACAGTGTTACATCATTAACAGAATGTTTTTCAACCTTCTTATAGCTTATGTTTTCTTGTTTACCTTCTGTCTTTTCCTGAGATGTCTTTTTTGAATCACTGAAAAGGATTTCTATTCGATTTCGTCACTTAGCTACTGCTTACCCTTTTTTATAATGTCTATAGTGTTACACATCATGAAGTTATTTTGCATTTGACTGTCGCCTTTATTCAAAACATTTTTATGTAGTAAAAAACATGATCATTTATAGAATATGTCGGTTATTTTTATGTACACGTCAGTCTTACTAGATAGTAACATCGTGAATGATCGCGAAAAACGGTGAAAATCTTAATAAAACTGAAGTTTTACGTTGAATGAGTGCCAATTTTTATTTCAAGGATACCGCATTAATTCTTGTTCGACCACCAAAGTGTTTCACTTAGTTACTCACATTGTATTTATGAGAAAGTTGAATATTTAAGTGCTCGCACAGAGGTGACAATGAAATCAACAAATAATATTCGCATGTGAAAACATTGGTACAGCATTATCTAAAATTAAAGGTGTTTCTACACAAAATAATTTTTCACCATGGTTTTTCAGTATTTTAGCTTCTTTTAATAAAACGATTTTTCACAAATAATTTTTGTGGTTTCATCAATCCATCGAAAAGGTATGCAGCATTCAACTTTTTCATTCAAAAATATCTTTCTGTTCACTGAGATGGAATAAACCCACTGATGACATTTTATAGCATTTACTCTATGCTGTATATTGACAAACGATAGGAAATGTGTGACAATATATTTTATCCTAGTGACTTTATGGCAACTTTCTCGTCACAAATCTTTATATTAGGTTAGCAAACTCAATATACACCGCTGCGCTAGGTAGCATTGGCGTTGTTGACTCAGTGTTTCATGTAATTATAGCATCAAACCCTTAGACAAGCATAAGAAAGAGTAGTACATGTTTGAAATGAGATTTTATGCTGTCCTACTTTTTTACAATAACACACCACAATATATTCGTGTGAATATGAGGAACTTGATAATGTGAGAAGTAAATAACAACGATGTGGTAGAAGAATAGTCACCAAGCATCTGGAAATGAACTGGCAGAACGGCAAAGTTAATCCTAAAATAATATCTTCGAATGCTAGGGTCAGAACTAACAGTTGAGTTTTAAGGCTGCATTCACTTTAAGGTTGAAAATTGAAGTGTTAAGGAACAGAGGATGAAATTTCAGTAGGAAGTTAGCTTACAATGCGCGTATTTTCTCGAATGTTTCAGTTTAATAACAGTACAATTCAAAATTTAAAAAATAATAGGTAAAAAAACTCATCTCAAATCGAACATCATTTTTACATATTCATCTTTTTAACGAACATCTTTCGGAAAAACATTTCATTTGTTTGTTAATCGATAATAAAGTCTAATTGCTATACTAATATAGTTTCGCGAAAATTTAAAAAGTACTCAAATAGAAACAACGGCAACGTCTTCTGGTTAACGACTTCACTAGTTACTAGCCAGTCATAAGCCCGGAGAAAGAGGAAAGGTTGCGCATTCCCTAAGCAACCCTAACACGGAAAACCAATCCAGTCGCTACAGAAAATTCAAAACACAAGGAAAATATAAAGAATAATAACAAAATTGTTCCTCATTGGAATAGAGGAGACGAAATGACGCCAGTTGGTGAAAGCATTCGGGAAGCCAATTAGTTGATGTGCCTTCTCTTCCTCGATTCAAGCAAAACTAAGAATGTTGACATGGAATGTCTGCACCATGCTTGAAGCTGGCTGTCAAGGCTGCCCAGTGTGCCAAAGAGATGAGAAGTTATAGCATGGAAGTACTAGGAATCTGTGAGGAATCTACAGATGGAATGGAAGTGGACTCTCCAAACTGTCAACTGGGGAGGAGAGTCAATAATCTACTCGGTTTCTGTCACCCAGATGACAACCATGACCACACTGAGCTACGGAGTGGCTATCATGATGTCAACAGGAGCATCGAGTGCTCTCATGCAGTGGGAACCAATCTCCTCCTCCTCCTCCCTGACAACATCCTCTGAATGATATGCAGTATTATATAAACATTTGTTTATATATAATAAAAGAACATCCACACCAAAGTACCATAGAAATTTTATTCCCTTTTCTGTTCTGTTTGAATTAGATTTAGACTAAGATTTCAAAACAGTATCATATTCGATAACATATCTGAATCGATCATCTATATACACTGAATACTTATCTAAGTGAGTTTCACTTAGGTAGTTGAGTTTCACTCTTCACAAGTAAATTAAAATCACAAATCAGAACTCAACTATACTTTACTACCTATTAATTAGAATTCACCACTTTATAAGAAATGCTAACTATGATACTGAAGACAGTTCATTGAATTTGACACCATATTACAACAGTTCATAAAATTTTAGCAAGTTATACTCTACATCCTCACCAGTCAAATCTATATTTGATTCTTCATTTCCAGTAAACTTGTTATTTTCTACTTACCTCAAACGCGTTAAAATAATTGATTACAGTGTCACTGTAATTCCCGCCTTATAGAACTTGCATCAAATAATATCTACAGCAGTCATATTAACAATAGAAATGCCTGTTAAATGGTTAGGATTAGTGGGTGGCGAGTTCTGAATCTAGTTTTCGTGGTTGTTGGCGCTCATCAGAAAGGCTTATCTCAAAGAAATTTATGTCACATGAGAGATCCGAACACGTATTATTCAGTTCTGCATTTAAAGGCGTTACCACTGAACCATTCAAGTCCCAAACGCCGTCACATTAGATTGGATTAAGTTGGAATTGGTTTGTTATTCGACAGCAACCAATGTCATGTTATCTAGTCCTCGTGCATTTTTCATTTTCACTTGTGTTAGAAACGTCTCTCTCTACTGTGGCGTTTACTCTAAAAACTGAGGATTAGAGTTGTTTATCATGAAAATATCCATACGAATAACACTTAAGGTTTGAACAACTGAGGTTCATTTCTATAAGAATTAGTTTAGTTGTTTATATATATATGTTATATTACCCATGTCACAAAGCAGTAAATAGAATTACAACTACATAAATCATTACTGTTTATGGATATGCAAGGAAGTTACATAAATCATGTTTGAAAGTTAAGGAGTAACTTTGATATTACTGAGAACAATTAATTATGTCGAAACATTGTCCGGTAGATAATACCGCTTCACAATATGAAACTTCTTATAAACAAACTGAAATCTACTAAATTGTATGTTTTACGCCTTTATTGGCTTCTCTTTAACTGATATAACTCATAAACCCTGTAAATTTGACACTTTGTTTTATGGTGTACAGTTTTTACTTTTCAAATTTATGAACGTGATAATCTTTCGGTTAGAAATGTTCTAATATAAACTATCTTGTACGCCACAAGTAAAGAGCTCACACTTTACTTTATAATTCACTTATCAGTTTAAGTTTCTAGAGGTTAAACAAAGGTATATCAAACCTTTTTGCAGTGTCACTCAGAGATTTTAAAAGCATGCACTTTATTAACTTCACCAGCTTGATGAAGAAGTATCTAAAAAGTCAATCACTTAAATTCAAAACAGGCTATCTCTAAAATTAAAAATAATTTCCACCAGTGGTACCAAAAGGATCTAATACCCCTGACGAAAACACCACTGTGTAGACACCTATTTTGACAGACTTCAGAGGTCATGCTTGAAAACGGAGTCTTTATTGAGGTGATATATTTACTAAACAACCAAACACACAAAATCAATGTAGCATCTGGCATTACTTTATTACTGTGCAAATTGTAACACCTTATATCAGCACAGGAAGCCAGAATGCACATAGATGAAAGACAAAGAGGAAAACAGTCAGAAATGGTAGAAAGTCACCAAAATAGTGTGAGAAAGAACGAGAGAAAACTGAGATTCAGTAGGACAACTGATATAACATGCTTAAATTTCTGCGCCACTGACAGCCACTCTGAGCCATCACTGGTTTCTTTTGTCAGGCGGATCAGAACCGCCAAGTATACATTTCCCTACACGGCTCAGACCAACAGTAAAGATTTTATAGACCCAAGCATGTTTTATTCTGACCACCTCTATCCTTTTCCAACATAGTGTGATGAAGAAAACGTTGGTTAGGCATGGGTAACCCATAATCCGGCCACCTGAGTCCGTGAAGGTTCACAACCTTATCAACTGGATTTCTTCTTCTACCTGAAACTTCACGCTTGATCTTTAAATTTTTGACCTGAAGGTACCACGATATATGGCCTATGGTACGAAGACA